GGTTGCAGTGAGCCGAGATTGCACCACTGCACTCCAGCCAGGTCAACAGAGCAAGACTCTGTCTCAAAAAATAAATAAATAAATAAATAAATAAATAAATAAGGAAGTTAATGGTCTGGCTTAAGACCACTAATAAGTAGTTAACACTTGTATAACATTTTGCAATGTAGGACGCATTTTCATCTTTCACCTCTTTTGGTCTTCACCAACAGTGTTTCCATTTTACAGATGAGGAGACTGAGATTCGGAAGTGGCTTGCCCAAGGTTTCACCGTGACTGACAAAGCTGGGCCTAAAAGCCAAGCATTTGGATGCCTCCCTGCTCCCACTGTCTCAGATGAACTGCATCTGCCCCAGGGTTGTCTGGGGAAACAAACAGGTGGTTGTGCTTCTATCTTAATAAGCATGAAATGCCTCTTCCACCACCGCTCACCACAGGATTTCATGTGTCCTTGTATTTACAGATAAGGCAGTCAAGAGGGCAATGGGGATTTATTGGAGGGTACGTATGTGGATGTGCCCTGGAAAAACATATCATTATACTTATGGATTTATGTCATTGGGAAGAAATGTCATAATGTCATTATCACTCATCATGTCATTATGGTCATAAGGTCATTATTCATCCCTTCCTAGAATCTTCCAAACCTCTGGTGATTTCACAAGGGAAGGGCGGGAACTCTGTTCCTCTTGGTGGCTACAGTCATTGGATCTCTAATTCCTGGAGTCTATGTCAAAGGAGACCCGCCCTCAGCCAGGTTCTGAGCAGCAAGACCGAATGGCACAGGGGACAGCTTTTGCCATGGGGCACGGAGGGTTCGATGAGGGCTCCAGGGGCCTCAGGTCACAGAGGAAAATGCTGTTCTGAACTCTATGGCCCACACAGAAGATGTCACATGGTCTCTGTAACTTTCTTTCCATCATAGGAACAGTGACAACAACTAACACACAGCACCTCCCACATGCTAGGCTTCCTACAATCTCCTTTAATCCTCTTGATAACTCTGTGATGTAGCTGCTATTATTATGGCCTTTTTTTTTTTTTTTTTTTTGGAGACACAGCC